CGAGCCGCAGCGTCTACACGAGCCGCCATCTTATCAGCCTCCAAAAAGCTGTGCGGAGGTTTAATTGCCGTTAGTTGGGTTAGCAAATGTTCAGGGAGAGCCGAGCCCAGCTGGTTATCCAGAAACACGTAACGGATTTAGAAATCCAGCGCCTCCTGTTTCCTGCAGAATCTCCTTTTAAGGCTTCATTAGTGACTCACATCCTCTGAGTTTACTGTTTTTTCACTATGAAGGTCCTCATAAGTATATATAATGATCCAGAAGCCTTTTATCACCATCATAGCCAGCGGTAAACGAGCATGAAGAGAACAAGCAGGTAGAGGACGTGTCCTCCTGCAGAGACGATCCTCACTGAGCTCTGCTTGTCGGTTCCCAGGGTGCCCCGCCACGGCGGTGGCTGATCTGATCTTCCTGGTTGACGGTTCCTGGAGCGTCGGCAGGCCCAACTTCAAATACATCCGCAGCTTCATTTCGGCCACCGCCGGAGCCTTTCAGATCGGCAAGGACAGAACCCGGGTGGGCGTGGTCCAGTACGGGGACGCTCCTCGAACCGAGTTCAGCCTGAACCAACACCTGACCCGACCCGCTCTGCTCAAGGCTGTCAGTTCGCTGCTTTACAAGGGAGGCAACACCAGGACAGGTGAGACCAGAAATCTAAATAAGACATTTTTTTCTTGGATTGAGGGAAAAGAGACATTTTGCCAATGGAATAAGTTAATTTACATTTAAAATAAGAAAACACAATTGTATTGTCTTATTTTAAGTGCATATTATCTAATTATCTTATTTTAAGAGCAATAATACTCAGAGTATCTCATTTACCTTCTGAAATTAAGGGTAAATACACTTAATTTAAGACATTTTTTACTTATTTCTAGGACGTTTTTCCAGTGAAAACAACTGTTTTGATTACTTTCACTTTTACTCCTGTAAATATCCTGGTTCCACACTGGAAAAAATTTAAAACTAGATATGTTATTTTTTCGTAAAATAAAGGTAAAGGAGGTAAAAGACACATTTACCGACAGAAGAAGACAATTTACGCTTAAAATAAGAAAAAAACAATTCCATAGTCTTATTTCAAGTGCATATTATCTAATTATTTTCTTTTGAGAGTTAAAATAGTCATTCCATTGGCCAGCCATCTCATTTACCTGCTCAGATTAAAGGTATATACACCTAATTTAAGACATTTTTTACTTATTTGTAGATTCTTTTTCCAGAACATCCAGCCAATGTTCCGCTGTTAGCAGCAGCAGCTCTAAAGTTTTCTTTCTTTGACGATCAAAACGCTTCTACGTTTCAGGCGATGCTCTGAGCTACGTCCTGACGAACGGGTTCACTGAAGCGGCCGGGTCCAGGAGAGATGTCCCCAAGGTGCTGGTGATCATCACGGACGGGCGGTCCGATGATCCGGTGGAGAGCTACGCCAAGCAGCTCAGGAGCCGCGGCGTGGAGATCTTCGTCCTTGGTGAGCGGCCAAAACCATCCATTCATCCATTTCTGTCACGCTGGGGTGGCGAGGGGTGCTGGTGTCTATGTCCTCCTGTCTACTGGCGAGAGGCGTTGTCCACCCTGGACAGGGAGACACAGAGACAAACAGAGAATTTAGAGAAGCCAATTAAAGTCGTTAGGAATCATATTCAAATATCAAATGATTCTGGCTTAAACATGTATATAAATGTTCTCTTTATCAGACCATATTGTCCCAAAAGTTCAAAAATTTCTTTAAAAAAGAAAATCCTGTCTTAAAATCTGTTTTTTTTCCATTATCTTTTTCAGGCCAGTTAGTTCTCCGTCAGCCTGAACACCTAAATTCAGCCAATCATATATCAACGGTCATCTGTCAATCAAATGTTTCCGGTCATAGCATCTTGATTCATATGTCGCAGCTAATATACGCAACGGTTGAAACCAGAATCCTTTCCTTTCCCATTGAGTTGCGTCCCAGTGTTCACGGGGATGGAC